CCCCCAACAATCTGGGTCCTCATTTTATCGACCTCGGAAGGATGGAAGGCTGAGTCAACCTTGAGCCAGTCAGGATCGAACTGCTGGCTGTGGGCAAAGTCAGCCTGCAATACTGCATTTTAACCACAGCGTCACCATGGCGAGTGAGTGAGTGAGTGAGTGAGTGAGTGAATGAGGGAGGGAGGGAGGGAGGAAGGAAGGAAGGAAGGAAGGAAGGAAGGAATAGCACTTATATACCGCTTCACAGTACTTTACAGCCCTCTCTAAGCGGTTTACAGAGTCAGCATCTTGCCCCCCAATAATCTGGGTCCCCATTTTACCGACCTCAGAAGGAAGGAAGGAAGGAAGGAAGGAAGGAAGGAAGGAAGGAAGGAAGGAAGGAAGGAAGGAAGGAAGGAAGGAAGGAAGGAAGGAAGGAAGGAAGGAAGGAAGGAAGGAAGGCTGAGTCAACCTTCAGCCGGTGAGAATCGAACTGCTGCCAGTCGGCACAATTAGCCTGCAATACTGCATTCTAATCACTGTGCTACCGGGGCTCCCAGATAGTCCTCGACTTACAACTACAACTGAGTCCCAAATTTCCATGGCTAAGCCAGACAGTTGTTAAGCCAGTTTCCCCCTATTTTGCGACCTTTCTTACCATAGTGCTTAAGTGAATCACTGCCATTGTTAAGTTAGCAATACAGGCGTTAAGTGGATCTGGCTTCCCCACTGAATTTGCTTGTCAGAAGGTCGCAAAAGGGGATCACAGGACCCGGCAACCGTCATAAATATGAATCAGTTGCTAAGCATCTGAATTTGGATCATACAACCGTGGGGATGCTGCAACAGTCAGAAGTGTTGAAAAACAGTCATGGTTGAAAGAGCTGCCTAATCAAAAGATTTCAGCTCCGTGTGAAGCTGAATCCCTCCAGCAGGCAGCCCTTTTGCTCTCAAAGAGCTGCCTACCAACCAGACTCACCCACCTGTGAAGCTGACATCCTTCAGCAGACAGCTCTTTTGCAGTGCCCACTTAATGACCTGGGAGACTGCTCAATGACCACAATTGGGAGCGCCAGGAGGGTGGTCCTGAAGCGAAGCTTTAACAACCAGGATTCTGGTCCTAATTGTAGTCGTAAATCAAGGACTACCTGTACAAAGGTAGTCAACGAATATGAGCCAGCCGTGTGCTGCAGCTGCCAAAAAACCCAACACAGTGCTAGGCTGCATTAACAGAGGGATAGAATCAAGATCATGTGAAGTATTAATACCACTTTACAATGCCTTGGTAAGGCCACACCTGGAGTACTGCATCCAGTTTTGGTCACCACGATGTAAAAAAAGATGTTGAGACTCTAGAAAGAGTGCAGAGAAGAGCAACAAAGATGATCAGGGGGCTGGAGGCTAAAACATATAAGGAACGGTTGCTGGAGTTGGGTATGGAGTTGCACCCGAAGGCAGGTCAAGAAGCAATGGATGGGAACTAAGTAAGGAGAGAACCAGGATAAATTTTCTGACAGTAAGAATAATTAATCAGTGGAACGACCTGCCTCCAGAAGTTGTGGGTGCTCCATCACTGGAAGTTTTCAAGAAGAGGTTGTCTGAAATGGTATATAGGGTCTCCTGCTTGAGCAGGGGGTTGGACTAGAAGATCTCCAAGGTCCCTTCCAACTCTGCTATTCTGTTAAAAGGTGAGCAGGTGGGCTACCTTTACTGAATGCTATCCGTTCTCTTTGACTCTCTGAAATCACCTTCACTGCCAAGTCCCAGATGCATTCAAGGGTCAACTTTACAAAACAGGCATTGTTTTCCTGATGAAAGATCCGCGCCCAGCCCAAAGAGCGCAGCACCCTTTTAACTGTGAACATACATGTAGCTCAGCTCAGCTCAAAACAACACAACCGCCAGTTTTTCCTCTCTCTCTATTCTTCTTCCCTTCTGCCGAAACGGATGACAAGTCTTTTTAACTGAATAAATATGCTTTTAATTGTTGCACTGGAAATACATGCTCTTGTGAATTGAGGACAAAAGGGGATCTCCAAAACCAACATCTGCATATTTTCAAAAGGGCCTGCTGTGTGTAGCCTTGCTTGGAGAAGTCATTGTTAGCATAAAAGAGCAGAAGAGAAAGAAAAACATCCATTAAAGGATGGATTGTCAACGAACACCAGGCTGGCACAATACACATCCGCTGTGCGCGGGATCAAAAAGGGAATAGAAGCAGAGGGTGGACCTGTGGCTTTATCCTCCTCCTCACTTTTGTCTGCTTTTCTCACAATCGTTAGAATCGCTACTAAACAGAGCTCATTTCAAGAGAAAAGATGAATGCGCAGCTGAAGGTCGGCAACTCAAAGGTAATTCCTTTCTACAAGACAAGGTAGGTCCTCGACCTACAGGCACACAACTAAGCCCAAACGTTCTGTCGCGAAGCGAGACATGTAGGTTTAAGTGAGTTTTGCCCCATTTTGACCACCTTTCCTGCCACAATCGTTAAGCGAATCGCTGCAGTTTGTCAAGTCAGTAACACGGTTGTTAAGTGAATCTGGCTTCTCCATTGACTTTGCTCGTCAGAAAGTCCCAAACCGGGGATCACGTGACTTCAGAACTCTGTCGCCGTGGTAAATGTGAGCCAGTTGCCAAGCGTCTGAATTTTGGTCATGTAACCACAGGGATGCCGAAATGGTCGTAAGTGTGAAAAACAGACATTAAGTCCCTTTTTCAGGGCTGTTTGTAAACTGTTTTATAAATAAAATGTTGTAAGGACTACCTGTACAGAATAGCAGAGACAGAAGGGACCTTAAAGATCTTCTAGTCCAACCCCCTGCTCAGGCAGGAAACCCTATACCATTTCAGACAAATGGCTGACCAGTCTCTTCTTAAAAACCTCCAGTGATGGAGCACCCACAACTTCTGGAGGCAGGTTGTTCCACTGGTTAATTGTTCTAACTGTCAGGAAGTTTCTCCTTAGTTCCAGGTTGCTTCTCTCTTTGGTTAGTTTCCATCCATTGCTTCTTGTCCTGCCTTCAGGCGCTTTGGAGAACAGCTTGACTCCCTCTTCTTTGGGGCAACCCCTGAGATACTGGAACATTGCTATCATGTCCCCCCTCGTCCTTCTCTTCATTAAACTGGACATATGCAATTCCAGCAACCCGTTCCTTATATGTTTTAGCCTCCAGTCCCCTTCCAACTCTACTATTCTGTTATATATTGTTCTCACTGTCAGGAAATTCGTCCTTCGTTCTAGGTTGCTTCTCTCCTAGATTAGTTTCCATCCGTTGCTTCTTCTCCTGCCTTCAGGTGCTCAGATACAAGATTTACTCTAGGACAGGCCATCCTTAACTTAAAACTTGAGTAGCTGTTGGAAGCTGCAACTGCACTGAAAAAAGTGATTCAAGACCATTGTTCACACTCATGACCATTGCAGCATTGCCATGGTCATGTGATCAGAATTCAGACACTTGGCAACTGGCTCATATTTATCATGGTTGCAAGTGTCCCGGGATCATGTGATCACCTTTTACAATCTTCAGACAAGCAAAGTCAAAGGGGGAGTAAGATTCACTGAACAACTTGGGTCTGATGGGATTAGCTAAAGAAAGGAACTGAGCCTGACCTTGGCCATACCCTAAAACAGGGGTAGGCAACCTTGGCTCTTTTATGACACGTGGACTTCAACTTCCAGAATTCCTGAGCCACCATGGTTTAGTATGGAAACCTCTCCCTTTCTCCTCAGCATGGCTGGCTCAGGAATTCTGGGAGTTGAAGTCCACCAGTCATAAAAGAGCCAAGGTTGTCTACCCTGCCCTAAAAGAAGGGGAAAAGGGTGCAGTCTCCAGATTTTGGTTAAGTTTATTTTTTTCCACTAAATGAGCTCCTTCCTTCCTTCCTTCCTTTCCTTCCTTCCTTCTTTCCTCCTATCTCTCTCTCTCTCTTTCTTCAAATTCACTTTGTTGTTGTTGTTGTTAGTTGCGAAGTCGTGTCCAACCCATCGCAACCCCATGGACAACGTTCCTCCAGGCCTTCCTGTCCTCTACCATCTTCTGGAGTCCATTTAAGCTCACGCCTCCTGCTTCAGTGACTCCATCCAGCCCCCTCATTCTCTGTCGTCCCCTTCTTCTATTGCCCTCCATCTTTCCCAGCATTGGGCTCTTTTCAAATTCATATAGCCACCCAACTCACGCACAGGTGACTCCAGGAGGCTTACAACGTTAAAAAAATCCACCACATAAAAACCATTAAAAGCCCATTCCTCCATGATAGCAGCAACACGATCAAACCAACTACTTCATCAGCTCCATCTCTATTCGGGGTCCCCAGGCTCGTTGTCAAAACCGCGTCTTCAGGGGCTTTCAAAAAGCAACAAGGTGGGAACCAATCGTTCCTCCAGGAGAAAGTTGTTACACAGAGAACGGGCCATGATCGACAAAGCCCTTTTTCGTGATATCCCCAAATATAAATCCCTAATAGATACGTAGGACTACAGACTAGATTTTCCTGGTGAACATGGTCAAAAGTGGACACGGCTAGGAAATCCTTTCTTACTTTCTTTTTTTTTCTCAGAGATATAAAACAAGAAGACAAAGAATAGTAGAAGATTTGTAGAGAAAAACAGTAATATAGACATCTCAAAAAATCCACTCTTCTTGATGATAAGATACTTTGAGTCACTATGAACATTTCAAAAGTAGCTTTTCTCATCCTTCAGTTGCTACTTAGAGCTTTCTGGATTTGGAAGTATACAAATGTAGGTAAATAAAACAAAAATTGAAATAAACTCAATGCTCTATTTTCTGTTCGCAATGAGTGTTGAACTATTGGGAAAACCTGACAATAATCCATCGATTCACTTTTGATTTCAAAAATCAAGTAAGATTTTGCGAATAGAAACAGAAACTATATTTTTTTGCTTCTTGAAAGCAGAAATAGTCTTCTCTTGCCAGTGGGCAATATTGTTAATCTTTAAGGAACGGTTTATAATTCTGGAGCCTGTTCAGATAAAATATTGTGTATATACAAATCTTCACACTGTGGTTTACCACGGCTATCTATATATGCCCTAACTTGCCTTAGCAATCATGGGCTTGTCTTACCATTTTTCAGGAAACTGAGCAGGTTAATGATTATTATTTTTTTAAAAGGATTTGCATCTGAAAACCAACAGCAACCCCTGCTGGTCCTCAAAATTATTTGACATGAAATTCCAAAGCTTGACAAATTTCAAGTTTAATAAATTTGTTTCAGCCTACCAACACAATTCCTCTTCTGCAAGATATGCACAGCTTAATAAATAGCACAATTCTTCCTGGGCTCCAAGATCACCACAGATGGGGACGGCAGCCAAGAAATTAAAAGACGCCTCCAGGGCCCGCCGCAGATCGCCCAAGCAGCTCAGCAGCGCCATGGCAGCCACGCCATGCAGCATCAACTGTGCGTGATGGGGTGTGAGGACAGAGTCTTGTCTACGCTGCCTGGCTGCCATGTCCTTGGCTGCGCTGCTCCACGTGGGCTACGCTCGGGGGCGACTCTCCTCCAGGGGGGCTGCTGGTGAGGAGGGGGTCGCGGGGGGAGGCAAGGCTGGGGTAACGGCACGCATGCCCACAGAGAGGGCTCCGAGTGCCCCCTCTGGCACCCGTGCCATAGGTTCGCCACCACTGTCTTAGACCTTCCAGTGGATGAATTAGACCGCCATCCCAAAGGCCCAAGTCCTCGGCAGACACAATGTCAAGAAGATCTGAACCATTGAGGGGAGAGGGCTCCAGATTCTCAGCCTGACCCTGAACAAAACCTCAAAAAGATTAAGATGGAGTGGTTAAGTAGGTCTAGGGTCACCAAATGGCTGGAAAGGTTTACTAGGGATTAATGGGTTTATTTGTGCACACAAACAGTCCTTTTTTGGTTAATCTCCAAGGATTAACAGTTGAGTCTAGGAGCTTCTCAAAAAGCAAGAACATTAAAACCAGAGTCAACATTTGGGTCTGAATTAGCTACTCTGGGGTTCCAATCCGTGACCTTTGTAACCCCTGGAGTCCGATTCTCTTAAATTACACTTTTTTGCTCACAGCTGGAGTTGTTTTTTTTTTTCTAATAACTTTGTGGCTGATCTTCTGACTGTCTCTTAATGTTTCTGATGCTCTCTTGCTTGGCAGGATGGATTTCTACTGCTTCTGTAAAACAGCTTGTAAACTGTTATCCAAAATTGCCCAGGCATTTTGCCAGCCTGAAGTGCCCTAGGAAGAAGAAGAAGAAAAAAATGCTTTTCAAGCTTGGCCACTTTAAAACACGTGGACTTCAACTCCCAGAATTCCCCAGTGGGGAACTGAAGTCTGCGTATCTTAAAACTGCCAAGTTCGAAAAACATTGCAATATAAAACCTCAAGACCCCAACACGTAACTTTCTAAGAAATTGCTACCTAATTTCTTCTAGGGGTGCCACTGTTAACTATGGCAAAAGAAATCTTGAAGATTTTTTTTTTAAAAAAAACACATAAAGAATAAGAGGGCTGATTAATTCCGCAGGGAGTAACGTGCCACTACAATCGCTGTCCATTCCTCGAGCTTAAAAGATATTTTAATATCTTTCTTTTCTGCTTAGATGGTAGCATTTTTGGGACATATTGCTCTAATGAGTACAAAAATATGAAATCACAGCTGCCTGTTCTTTAGCTGGTGATGGCCTTCACATACATCAAGTTCTTCCCAAGAACCTCCTAGATTAGACGTGTCAAACACAAGGCCCGGGGGCCGGATGCAGCCCGTGACGTGGTTTCATGTGGCCCACGAAGCCATCCTGGAAACAGTGAGGGAACGGCCCCCACTGTCTTGGCCCTGGCCCAGGCCGGCCGGGAGCCAATGTACAATTTTGTGGTGGCCATCTATGCTGAAATGCATTCAGTCTTAGCTCCACAAGGCTGTCTGGAAACAGCAAGGGACCGGCCCCTGCCATGTCGGCCTCACTCCCTGGGCGCGTGCTGGGGAAGTGTCACCCTTTGTGAGGAATGAAGGAACGCACCATTGCCTGGAAGTGGCCAGCAAATGGTCCTCGCCTATTTCACATATCCAGCTTGATGGGCTCCGGGTGAGGGGTTTCAGCAGGCTCTTCCAGTGGACCATGCCTTGGGCTTGCCCCGGTCCCGCCCCCTTCTGCCAGAGACCCTCAGATCTGTCCCACTCCTGCCCAGCCCCCCCCAGGCACCCTTGACGCAAACGATGTAGAGCTGGCCACGCCCACCCAGTAGGCCACATCCACTCCAGCCACGCTCACCCAGTAGGCTGCGCCCACCCTGGCCACACCTACCCCCCCCTCGAGGACGACCGCAATGCTGATGCAGCCCTCAATGAAATTGAGTTTGACACCCCTGTCCTAGAGATGTAATATATCAGTGTAGTATATGTTCAGATCCAAGTTAACAATTGCGTCACCTGACACCCAGCGACTCTGGATGGTTTTACAAGGAAAAGGGGTGGGGGGGAAAGGGGGGGGAGATCAGTCATCCATGCCAAAAGTCTGGATGAAGAGCCACGTGTTCAGGGCCTTTTAAAACAGAGGTCCCCAACCTTTTGGGCACCAGGGACCGGTTCCATGGAAAGGTTTTTCCGTGGACATGGTGCGTGGTTTTGTGTACTGCCTGCATCCTATGGATGGGGCTTTCCTTGTTTGTGCGGACCGGTTGCTGGCATGCCGCGGCCCGGTACTGCTCCACAGACCGGGGGTTGGGGACCCCTGTTTTAAAATACAGGTAGTCCTTTTAAAATACAGGTTCCTAAGTTATAACGGTCGTAAAGGATTTTATGGCTCTTCTGCAGTGATGAATAAGCAAACACTACGGTCGTTAAGTGAATGCCGGAGTCATTAAGCAAATGTCAAGGTCATTAAGCGAACCAAAGGCCCCAAAGCAAAAATGCCAGTTTTCATCAAGACCGTCGTAAAATACGGTCATGTGAGCGCAGGATGGTGTACACAACTGTAAATGCAGCCACCAGGCCAAGTGCCTGAACTTCAGCCGTGTCACCGCAGAGGGGGGGGGCTGACCTCTGGATCTTCAAATCCATGCAATGGGAACCCCAAAGGTAGGTCCACTNGTTTTTAAGAAGAGTGAAAAGTCACCTCTGGCAGTGTAACTTTGAACGGTCACTGAACAAATTGTTGTAAGTGGAGGACTATCTGTAGTCTTCAATTTACCACTCTACCGGAGCCTGCCCATCACCTTAGTAATTCATGATGGCTATAAAGGGGTCATCCACATAAGCGACCCGATTTTATGATCTTTTTTGCAGCAGTTGTTAAATGAATGCTACGGTCATTAAGCAAAGCCCTTGTTCGCTCTGGGGCGTTTTTGCCAAAAACCAGAAGCGAAGGTCACTTCAGATTAGCAAGATGGGCAGCATATAAATTTAATAAATAAATACATAAATAAATACAGTCTGTCTGAGGGAGATGGGTGGTTGGTTACGCAACACACACAAAATCAATCAATCACCCGAAATGTGATCAAGTGACAGGGAGAGGCATCGTAACTTTGGGGAATCCGTCATAACTTGAATAGTTGTAAGTCAAGAACAGTGGTGGGATTCAGCCGGTTCGCACCGGTTCAGTAGAACCGGTAGCTAATTTTTTGTTGACTTCGTTGAACCGGCTGATGTCCTAGCCCTTTTTCGCAAGGCCCAAAACAGACCGCCGGAAGTGGCATCCACGCAGAGAACAAGTTGTTCAGGTATTTGAATCCCACCACTGGTCAAGGACTACCTGTAACTAGAATAGGAGGCAAAATCCCAGCAATCTTTTCACATAGCTGACCTCTGAGCTCTTCCAAACCAATGCAATGTGTCTTTCTTTTTAAAATAAAAAATCTTAGTATTACCGTACTTACGGTTTTAAGTGAGGAAGGATCACTTTTTCCAAGAGTCACAGTCAATTCCCCATTTTTCCGCTGTTCGTGAACTTCCAAAGCATCCACCAGCTGGGTTCCTGTGGCCAGCCGATATCGTTTTCTCCCCTATAAGCCATGCAAACATGCCTTTGAATTCAGAAAGGCTAAAAGTCTACAAATCAATGTGTTTTTTCCTCTCCCCAAATAAAGTGTTTTTTGTCACAAAGACAAGTTATTAGAAAGAGAAACAGCAACAGAGGGCTAGGAGAATTGAAGAGATGAAGTTGTCGTTGTTGTTGTTGTTATTAACCTATGGTGTTGTTACAGTAGCCAGGAGACCCCAATGCAATTGCAGAATAGTAGTTTGGCTGCCAATTAACCATGGCGAACTCACCGTGGCCAACTTGCCATGGGACAACATGCCACGGAACAAGATTTACACTAGTATCGAAGAAATGGTGGAACAGAATCACTAAAGAAAGGACGCCAAAGGAGGGATGAAATGAAATGCGAAGGACGAAAATTAAAACAATTTATTTTAAATAACTAAATTGAATTGTTGAACTGTCCCGCAGCGAGCTACCCTGCAGCAAGTTGACGGTGGCGAGTTGTCCCATGGCAAGTGTCAAGCCCCGTGGGCTCGATATACACGGAGGAGGGGGAGACAGCTCCAGGAGGCCACCTCACAGCCAGAAGCCGGCGGTCCGATGCCGGCAACGCCGCCAGGGAGGCCGCACGGCTTGGCACCAGCGTCACCAGCAAGGGAGACCTACCGGCTGGTGTACCATCCCTGCAACCCGCGGCTCGAACCTAGGGAATCCCCGCAGCCCGCCGCTCAAGCCTAGGGATGCCAGCAGCACAGGAGATGGATTGGCGATGCCGCTGTAGGGTGGGGCGTCCCCGCGGCTCCGGCAAGAGGCTCGGAGACCCGGGCTCGGGTCTCCTCCGGGTGGCTGGTGCAGCTTGACTCCAGCGGTGCAGGCGATGAGCGGGGACACCTAGCGCAGCTCGGAACAAGGGCCGCAGAGCAGCGGAGCGGCCTCAGCACCAGCACGACTACCAAACACCAGTGGACCGAGGGGCCACGCCACAGGGGCTCACCGCGATGGCAAGAGGACAACAGGGTTCCTACCTGGAGTCTGCCGCTCTGCTACGCGTCTTCTGGCAGGGGCGGGATGGTGGGTCAGGAGGGAGGCAGGGTCTTGGGTACTGATTATCAGAACTGAACGCCGGATGGTGGCTGGGGAGGGTGGAGCTGCGGGGTGGGGAGGCTACGTAAAGCATTGGGAGCAGATCACTCCCAGTGCTGACTTTCTCCAGGTCAAAGTAAACCACATGTCAACCCGTTCCTGTCTACTGGTCATTCTTCAAGAACTGAGAAGTACGCGTGACAGCAAGTTGGTCGTGGCGACTCAACCATGAGTTGTCCCATTGTGGCTGTTCTAGGAAACGTCCGTGCGCTTCCCAAGGTACACCACAGGAGGGTGACCTGACTTCACACCAGAAAGAAAGACAAGCAGATCTTCCTGCAACGTCACCCAAGGTCCGCTACCTTCCCTGGAGCCACCTCGCAAACAGGCACCGCAACCGGGAAGGTTCCGAGCTGGCAGGAATCCGACTGCCTGCACTGAGCGCCAACCTGTCTCCCCGCTGAAGTGGTACCTATTTATCTATTCGCAGAGAACATGCTTTCGAACTGTTAGGTCAGACATGTCAAACACAAGGCCCGGGGGCCGGATGCGGCCCGCAAAGTGGTTTCATGTGCCCTGCAAAGCCATCCTGGAAACAGTGAGGGAACGGCCCCCTCTGCCTTGGCCCTGGCCCAGGCCAGCTGGGAGCCAATGTACAATTTTGTGGTGGCCATCTATGCTGAAACACATTCAGTCTTAGCTCCTCAAGGCCGTCTAGAAACAGCGAGGAACCAGCCCCTGCCACGTCGGCCCCGCCCCCCTGAGTGCATGCTGGGGAGGTGTCACCCTTTGTGAGGAATGAAGAAATGGACCATGCCTTGGCACTTGCCCCGGTCCCACCCCTTTCTTCCAGAGACCCTCAGATCTGTCCCACTCCTGCCCAGGCCCCCACAGGCACCCTTGACACAAACGATGTAGAGCTGGCCATGCCCACCCAGTAGGCCGCACCCATTCTGGCCACACATCCCCGTCCCCCCGTCAATGAAATTGAGTTTGACACCACTGTGTTAGGTGGACAGACGCTGAGGCAAGGGATGGGAGCTCACCCTGCCAGGACTCAAACTGCTGGAGCAGAAACCATCTCCAGCGTCATTCAGCCGCTGAGCCACCGTGCCTCAAGAGATGATGTCCCTGCAAAAAGCACAACGGCCGCTGGGAAAAGGTCTCTTTTTGCCCCAAGGAGCACATCGCAGGCTGCTGTGGCATGGAGAGAAAGATCTGAAGAGCAAGAGGTTGAAAAGCTGGCACAATGGGAGATGTTCTTCGCTGTAATGCACTCCAGTCATTTAGTATTTATAGCCAGTATTTGTAACCAGATTGGTAAACGAATCGTTGTGAGTCAGTAACTGTGAGAGGGACCTTGGAGTCCTAGTGGACGATCACTTGACCATGAGCCAGCAGTGTGCGGCAGCAACCAAAAAAGCTAACACAATCCTGGGTTGTATAAACAAAGGCATAGAATCAAGATCAGGCAAAGTATTAGTACCGCTTTACAAATCCCTAGTAAAACCACACCTGGAATACTGCAGCCAATTTTGTTCACCATATCACAAAAAAGATGTTGAGAGTTTAGAAAAAAATCAGAGAAGAGCAACTGATCAAAGGCCTGGAGACTAAAACATACGAAGAACGGCTGCGGGACCTGGGTTTGGCAGGGGTCGGCAACCTTAAACACTCAAAGAGCCACTTGGACCCGTTTCCAGAGAAAAGAAAATTCTCTCTCCCCCCCCCCACCCGGATCTTCTGCTCGCCTGGCAAGCTGGCTCCATGCTGTCCTCCGAGAAGCTGACACACATTCTTATTGGGCTGGCTCTCTCCTGCCCTTGGTCTGCCAGTCCTCTTTCCCCACTCAGTGTGAGTGTGTGTGTGTGTGTGAGAGAGAGAGAGAGAGAGAGAGACAGACAGACAGATAGACAGACAGAGCTGCTGCTTCCTGCTTCGACAAAGCAAAGGGAGGAGCCCCACCCAATAAGCTTGTCAGCTTGTCAGAGGACAGCGTGAGACCATTCTCTTTTTTACACACACACACACACACACACATACGCAGAGAGAGGGGGAGGGAGAGAGAGAGAGAGAGAGAGAGAGAGAGAGAGAGAGAGAGAGAGAGAGAGAGAGAGAGAGAGAGAGAGAAGGGAAGCGCAAGTGCCTCTCTCTGTCTCTGTTTCTCTCTGCAAATGGCGGAGGAGGCTGGGAGCCGGAGGAGAAGGCTCAAAGAGCCACATGTGGATCCGCAGCCGTGGGTTGCTGACCCATGGGCTAGCATAAAGAAAAGAAGAAATAGGGGAGACATGATAGCAGTGTTTTGGTATCTGAGGGGCTGCCACAAGGCAGAAGGGGTTAGGTTGTTCACCAGAGCACCAGAGGGAAGGACAAGAAACAATGGTTGGAAACTGATCAAGGAGAGAAGCAACCTGGATTTAAGGAGAAACTTCCTGACAGTGAGGACAATCAACCAGAAATCGTGGGCGCCCCATCACTGGAGATCTTTAAGAAAAGACTAGACAATCACCTGTCTGAGATGGTGTAGGTTCTCCTGCTTAAGCGGGGGGCTGGACTAGAAGACCTCCAAGGTCCCTTCCAGCTCTATTCTATATAAACACCCTGGGACACTGCAAGCATCGTAAATATGAAACAGTTGCTAAGTGGCTATATTTTGATCACGGGACCACGGGCATGCTGCACTTGTTTTAGTAGCACTGTAACTTCGAACGCTCACTAAACTAATGGTTGTAAGATGAGGACTGCCTGTGTACGTTTTTGCCAACCTGGTGCTCTGCTTCGAGTGAACGAATCCTCTTCTTTTCTACTTTGAAATCGTTGTCGCTGTCATCTTCTTCATGGGATGAGGCTTGCTGTTTGGCAGACAGTTTTGAAGCCAAGGTCGTTCGTGAGAGGCTTTCTGCAATAACAATTACATTAAAGGGAGTCTGTGAAACAGAAAACAATTTTATAAACAGAAAAACATAACCCGAAAGATAAGAAGGAAATAAAAATGGAGAACTTGTGGAGACCCTAGAACAGTGGTGGTGAACCTATGGCACAGGTGCCAGAGGCGGCACTCAGAACCCTCTCTGTGGGAACACATACCCTCGCCCCAGTTCTAGGCCTTCAGCTGGGTTTTGTAAAACCTTTTTGCTTTAGGCCTCCGCCGTGTACAAAAAAAAAAAGTTCAATCAATCAGTCAATTTCAACTTCTCGTGGGAAAAAAAAAATCTTGCAAAGTTGAAATTGATTGATTAAACTTTTTAGTCTCACCCAGTCTGCCATTACCACCGCAGCCACGCTCACCCAATTGGCCACGCCCACTCAATGGGCCACACCCACCCAATGGGCCACACCTACCCGGCACCCGAAGATGCGTAAATGGGTTTTGGGTTGCAGTTTGGGCACTCAGTCTCTAAAAGGTTCGCCATCACTGCCCTAGAAAAAGGGCAGAGCAGAGGAACAAAGATGATGAGGGGACTGGAGGCTAAAACATGTGAAGAACGGTTGCAGGAATTGGGGATGTCTAGTCTAAGGAAGAAAAAGAAGAACTAGGGGTGACATGATAGCACTGTTCCAATATTTCAGGGGCTACCACAAAGAAGAGGGGGCGGTCAACCTTTCCTCCAAAGCACCTGAAGGAAGGAGAAGAAGCAACGGATGGAAACTAATCAAGGAGAGAAGCAACCTGGAACTAAAGAGAAATTTCCTGACAGTGAGAACAATTAACCAGTGGAACCACCTGCCTCCAGAAGCGGTGAATGCTCCAACACTGGAAGTTTTTAAGAAGAGACTGGACAGCCATTTGTCTGAAATGGTATAGGGTTTCCTGCTTGAGCAGGGGGTTGGACTAGAACACCTCCAAAGTCCCTTCCCACTCTGTTATTCTGTTATAAATGAGGGTGGTGTCCTTAAAAGCCCCTTAGATAAGACAATACCTCTGTTGGATGAGCTACTTCCACTGCCTGGTGAGGTCTCTGTTGCATTGTTGGGGAAGAAAGAAGATGTGCTTTGGCTGCCTCCTTGTGGATCCTGACCGGACGATTTAGCGTGGCATGGGCAGTGGCACGGTTTCAAAGCCTCAGTCTTCTTGCATTCTTTTGAGCATAAGTCATCCAGCGGTTTATCTAAAGAGCAGACAAGTTTTTTTAAAAAAAAAAATACAGGTAATTCTTGACTTACAAACAACCATTTGTTTAATGACCATTCAAATTACAATGGGCTGGAAAAAGGTGAATTTATGACAGTTTTTTCGAAACCTACAACTGTTGCAGCATCCCCAGGATCACATGATCAAAATTGAGGCACTTGGCAATCAGCCTGTATTTATGATGGTTGCAGCATCCAAGGAACGTATGATCCCCAATTGTTAACATTCCCAGCCAGCTTCCGACAAGCAAAGTCAATGGGGTAAGGAAGATTTACTTAAGAACTGTGTGGTTTACTTAACAATTGTAGTGATTCGCTTAACAACTGTGGCAAAAAGGGCATAAAAACAGGCACAACTGCTGGCACCCTGAAAGCTCCCCCCCCCACCTTTTAATCAATTTTTAACAACCCTTGCCTCTTTTAAATTTTATATACTGTTTTTATGCTTTTAATATTTTATTCTGTGAGGGAGATAGGCAGTTCTTAAATAAGACAGCTAGATAGATAGATGCATGGATAGATGGATGATGAATAGATGGATGGATGGATGGATGGATAGAGATAGATAGATAGATAGATAGATAGATAGATAGATAGATAGATAGATAGATAGATAGATAGATAGATAGATAGATAGATAGATAGATAGATAGATAGATAGATAGATAGATAGACAGACAGACAGATAGATAATGGATAGGGATGGATGATAGAAGATAGATAGCTAGATAGCTAATGGATAGGGATGGATGATAGAAGATAGATAGATAGATAGATAGATAGATAGATAGATAGATAGATAGATAGATAGATAGATAGATAGATAGATAGATAGATAGATAGATAGATAGATACATAGATACATAGATAGATACATAGATAGATACATAGATAGATACATAGATAGATGATGATGGATGGATACGAATGGATAATGAATATATGGATAGATGATAGAAAATGGATAGATAATGGATAGATGGATAGACAGACAGATAATGGAGAGAGAGAGATAATGGATAGGGATGGATAGATAATGGAGAGAGAGAGAGAGATAATGGATAGGGATGGATGGATATATATGGATAGATGGATGGATGGATATATATGGATAAATAGACAGACATATTAGCAGGGAAAATGAAGCCAACAGCAGAGTGTTGATGGGCTCAAGCTGGCCCACCCAAGGCCTCACCATAGAGGGACTGCTGCCAGGCCAGCGCAGAGCAGAGCAGTGCCAAGCTCTTTCCACTTCCAGTGGGACTCTCCAGCAGGCAGTGTTGCTTGGAGCTCAGCCCCTTCACAATCTGCAAAGAAGGATAGGAATTTTTGCCAGCATGGAAAACAAACTGCTGCCTTTTTCTTTTTTTTTGCACTGTAAGACGGCAACTAAAAAAACCTGAAGAACTGACATACCTGTTGCTTTCAAACCGTTTCCCTAATTTCATTCATTGCAGAATTGAATTTGAAGAATAATGTAGATGGCCATCTACTTCAAAACATGGAATTTCAATGGAAAAAGCAATTTCTACTCAGGGAGACATGTTGGATCCTGACTCCCCAACCAATATTAAAAACTTTTCATTTCTGATTTGAATTGCCTGCATCATCCTGGGATCGTGTGCTCATCATTTGTAACTTTCCCAGCCAGCTTCCAACCAATAAAGTAATGAAGGAAGCCAGGTTTGCTTAACAATGTGATTCACTTAACTGGCAAAAAAAGGTCACAAAATGGAGCTAATAATTTTCGCTATGATTTAAGAGCTTTGAATTTAATCCTGTTGCTTTTTTAAAACCAAAAACAACAACACCAAGCAAATATTTTAGAAGTTGAAAAACAAAAAAAGATCAGGGAAGCTGGAGAAAATCCTGGTTTGCAACTAACTATAAAGCGGTGTTTCTCAATCTTGGAAATTTTTAAAAGTCTGGACTTCAACTCCTAGAATTCCACATCCAGCAGGCTGGCCGGCTGCATGCATCTAACAATTCAATCACTCGGAATAGAGAAGGGACCTTGGAAGTCTTCTAGTCCAACCCCTTGCTCTAGCAGGAGACCCTATACCCTTTCAGATAGGTGGCTGTCCAGTTTTTTCTTAAAAACCTCCAGTGATGGGGAGCCCACAACTTCTGAAGGCAAGCTGTTCCACTGGTTAATTGTTCTCACTGTTAGGAAGTTTCTCCTTAATTCCAGGTTGCTTCTCTCCTTCATTAGTTTCTTGTCCTGACTTCTGGTGCTTTGGAAAATAAGTTGACTCCCTCTTCTTTGCGGCAGCCCCTCAAATACTGAAATATTGCTATCATGTACTCCCTAGTGCAGTGGTGGCGAACCTATGGCACGCGTGCCAGAGGCGGCACTCAGAGCCCTCTCTGTGGGCACACAGGCCATGCCCTGGAGATGGCAACTGTCCCTCTTCAACCAGCCGCCCACTAACTCGCCCAGGTCCCACATGGCCAGATGCATCCCAGCACCCATGCGCTCGCTGGCTTCTGTGCGCAGAGGTTGATGGTGTCAGGCAGCAGCCACCCCAGTCCCTGCCACACCTTGCCCTGTGACAACAGCACCCCCGCCCTGCCTCACCTTGTCTCGCCTCACCCCGCAGGACGAGCCTCCTGCCCACCGCCCCACCTGCCAGAGACCCCCTGGATCTCCCCCAACCCTGCCCGGCCCCCACAGGCATCCCTCCCTACGAGCAACATCGAGGAGATCACGCCCACCTTGGCCACACCCATCCAATCTGTCATGACCACCACAGCCACGCCCACCTGGCACCCGGTGATAAATAAGTGGGTTTTGGGTTGCAGTTTGGGCACTCGGCCTCTAAAAGGTTCGCCATCACTGCCCTAGTGTCAACGCTGCTAACATTGGATGTTCTTGCTTTGACAATATATGAAGATGCAGCCAATTTCCCCTTAACTTGTGTGTTACTTTTAGAGTTAGAATTAGATGATGCTGGGGTGGAGGAGGAAGAATGTATATGGGAATTAGTTAGACATAACAACATCGTAGTAGAGTGTTTTTCAAGGTTGTTTGAAATAAGAGATGATAAGAAATGGCCGGTTGGAGAACTGGAGGGAAGGTCTGCATTTCAAACTAATTGGAGAATGTGATTTATGATGTTAATTAGAGGAGGGAATTGTGCTTTGATACTATGTGTTTAGGGGAGGAGAATTCAGATTTTGGCTTCGACCATGTAGGTGCCAATGCCATGCTACTTGAATAAAAATTCTGTAAGGTAAACAATGCCTCGAAGTTCTTTGAAGAGTTTTATCTGTCGGAACCATGACACCTAGTCCTTCAGTTCTCTAGACCAGTGGTTCTCAACCTTTTTAATGCCGCGACCCCCAACTGGTCGTAAGTCGAGGACTAAACCGGTCGTAAGTCAAGGACTACCCAACCGGTCGTAAGTCGAGGACTTTCCCTGCCCGGGAGCGCCGCGCATGCGTGGTTCCGCCCCCTGCGCCGGCCGAAGCGTAGCTGGCAAGCGGCAGAGAAGGAGCAGGCCGACCACCAGCTGGCCCAGCCCAAGGGAGGTAAGGCACCCGCCAGAAAAGGGGAAAAAATGGCGGACAAAAAAAATGGCGGACAGCCTTGCTTGGCGACTCCCGTGAAATGGTCGATCGACCCCAAATGGGGTCGCGACCCATAGGTTGAGAACCGCTGCTCTAGACTGACCATACCCAATTCCTGCAACCGTTCTTCATATGCTTTAGTCTCCAGGCCTTTAATCGTCTTAGTTGCTCTTCTCTGAACTTTTCAAATTCTGGGAGTTCAAGTCCACATTTAAGTTACCAAGGTTAAGAAACATTGCTGCAGAGGTTTAAGCGTAACCTTACAATCACTGTTGTAAAATCATTGCTTTACAGACTTACTGCATTCATCATAGCAAGTTGTGATGGGTAAGCCTTACAAGGGAAGATAATTTTCACTCCACCAATGGTGTATTCTGATGTTCGTAATGCCATAATCACATTCACTTTTCAGGACATCCACCTTCAAGAAAAAAGAAGCAGTGTTTTCAATTATAAACCTCTGAATTTCAATCCCACCTCAGACTTGAAAGTCCACTGGATGACTTTGGCCAATCATCAGGAGAGCTGTTTGGGTGACCTTGGGCCAATCACCGGGAGACTGAGATTTCTAGCCCCGCCTTAGACATGAAAACCTTAGTCCAATTACCGGGAGACAGTGAGTTCTAGTCCTGCCTTAACCACGAGAGCTGTTTGGGTGACCTTGGGCCAATCACCAGGAGATTGAGAGTTCTAGTCCTGTTTTAGCCGTGAATCCAGCTGGGTGACTTTGGGCCAGTCCCTCTCTCTCAGTCCAACTCACCAACTAGGGTTGTTATTGTGATAAAAATAGGAGGAGGAAGATGTGTTGGATACGTTTGCCACCTGGACTGACTTGAAGGCATGATACAAACAAACAAACAAATATAAAATAAAATAATTTCTCAACTGAGAATTTGAAAATCCCTAATAGAAGAAAGGCTAGTTCAAACCATCTCTACTTCGCTAATAAGGATATTTGTGAAGTCACAAGGAGTCAAGCTATTATCTTCGTGCTGCAGGAATGCCCAGTGAAAAACTGTCGTAAGACTTTCTTCAGTGCCATTGTAACTTCAAATGGTCACTAAATGAATCGCTATGAGTCGAGGATTATCTGCATAGAAATGGTATTTCTTGCAGATCTTCCAATGCACTATTGTTGCTACTTTGCCATGCTGGTATTTGTAGTCAGTCTATGCAATGTATTATTACAGTTTCTCGCACACGCAGCCAGATGTTTAGACTGGATTGGCATTTTTATCCATCTCTCCGAGTCCTTCCCAAGGACCCAGGATAGACAGATGTGGATATTCAATGGCATTAAAAGTATTATTCCTACTATTATAATCTATCTATCTATCTATCTATCTATCTATCTATCTATCTATCTATCTATCTATCTATCTATCTATCTATCTATCTGCCTACATCTATCTATCTATCTATCTATCTATCTATCTATCTATCTATCTATCTCTATCTATCTATCTATCTGCCTACATCTATCTATCTATCTATCTATCTATCTATCTATCTATCTATCTATCTATCTATCTATCTATCTACCTGCCTACATCTATCTATGTATCTATTATCTATCTATCTATCTATCTATCTATCTATCTATCTACCTGCCTACATCTATCTATGTATCTATTATCTATCTATCTATCTATCTATCTATCTATCTATCTATCTATCTATCTATCTATCTACCTGCCTACATCTATCTATGTATCTATTATCTATCTATCTATCTATCTATCTATCTATCTATCTATCTATCTATCTACCTGCCTACATCTATCTATGTATCTATTATCTATCTATCTATCTATCTATCTATCTATCTATCTATCTATCTATCTATCTATCTAAGATATACTATCTATTGTATACTATACTATAATTATTATATTTTATCTATCCAATGAGATAAAATATATACATTTTATCTCATTTGATAGATAAAATATAATACTAATAGTAATAATATAATAGTAATACTTTTAATGCCATCGATACACACACATATATCAATAAAATATAGAAAAAAACGACACACACACACACACACACATATATATATATATCGATTTGAATATAATTGAACCGACTATGGAAAATTAAAATTAAATAACTAATGGAGGTTAAGAATAATTTTAGGAATATTTTTTTAAAAGGAATTGATGCAAGAAAAAAAGCAAACTTTACTTGCCTTGCGGGATGGTGGTTCTTTCCAATAGCCCACCCCCCATAAAAAAGACTTTTTGACTCACTAAACGCTGGAGGGGGCATTTTATTTTCTCCCCTAAGCCCCACTTTTCGATCCTTCAAAAATCATTTTATGTCAGAGAAACAGAAAGGCACAAAAACCGAGCGTGCTTTAAAAACAAATCCCCCCCTCTCTTCGGAATGGAAGAGTCGAAAGGTGCTGTACTCCTCCCCTCCCCGCGCCAGCCACCCGCTTTTTGGACTCGTCTAAACGCGCAGGAACCAATACGCGCCCCTCTCTCCCCAGCGCGCGCAAGAAGAGTTACCTCAGGATTCCAAGCGCTTCTTCACTCGCTTCTTCCGACTTCGAACCTTCCTTCCCGCCTCGGCTGCGTCCGCCCCCTTCCGGCCTTTCTGCCAATCAGCGGTGAGCTGGAAGCGCCAACGAGAGCCGTCCGGTAGCGCGGCTTCCGGTGTCCTTCGGTTGCTTAGATACCTCGAGGCCTAGATCTCCCGGCCTTGCTTTCGGGGACAGATTAGTGGTCTTCTGTTGGGGCGGCGTGAATTCCGCCGGCTGATCCAAGAATTTGAGGAATTCACATTCAGTTGGCTGAGAGGAAGACCCCTGACGCAACACCATGAAGGGTCTTTCGAACTGGCAGAGGCCTTGACCCCTTGACACTGACTCTATAGCGCCTCATGATCTTTGAGTGCGCAAGATGGGCAGTGGATTATGGGAAGAAGGTTAAAGTGTCATTACAGTGTTGACTTCAACTCCCAGAATTCCCCAGCCAGCCATGGTTTAAGATGGCTGGACTTCAACTCCCAGAATTCCCCAGCCAGCCATGGTTTGAGATGGATAGACTTCAATTCCCAGAACTCCCCAGCCATCAATAAACATTGATTTATTCTACCACCCGTGCTTGCTCTTTGTCTTAAAAGACAGTAATCAGAGGTCCTTCTGCCTTTTTCCCCCAAACAGTTTGTGCTCTCTGACTCTATCCATTGTGGGAAGAATACAGAGAAATAAATATTTTGGGGAATATTAAAAAGGCAGAATATATTTCCCTAAAGGAATAATGGAGAAGATCTAAAAAAAACCAAGAAACCAGCCTCAGCCCCTCTCCCCCCAAGCAGAAACTAGGCAGAGGCCAGCTTTTAGAAATGCAGATGTGAT